TTTCTGGTGGATATAATGACTTTTATTATTGTCAAATGTCCCTCTTTATCTCTAGTAATGCTTCTTTCTTTTGATTACTGTTTACATAACATTTTTCCATCCTTCTATTTTCAACCTTTCTATATCTTTATATTTAAGGTATGTCTCTTTTAAGCAGCATATGGTTGGGTTTTATTTTTATTCAGTTTGACAATTTTTTAATTGTTATATTTTAATCCGTTTACATTTAATGTAATTATTGATATATTTATATTTGTTTTTGCCTTCCTAAATTTTCTTTGTATACCATCTGCTTTAGGTTCTGTTTGTTTTCTTGACTTCCTTTGGATTAATCGAATTTTTTGTTGTCCATTTACCTTTTCATTAGCTTATTTAGTTATTTATTCTTCTGTTATTTTAGTGGCTACCTTAAATATTACACAATCATTTTTGATTGTTATATTAATGTTATATGAGTTACTTTCTCCACTTCACAGAGAGTAGAATCTTAGAACACTTTAACTCCATTTTCTCCCTCCTTTCTTTTGTGTCATTGTTGTTATGTATTCTAATTTGACCCACTGTAAACCCTCTGAAACATTATTGTTATTATTACTATTTATTATTACGTTATTGTTAATGTTATATTTACTCACTTATTTACTCTTTCCATTACTCTTTTTTTTCTTCCTGCATTTCCATATTTCTTTCTGGGATCATTTTCATTCTCCCCTCAAGATTTCTTTACTCTGGGTCTTTTGGTGATAAATTCTCCGTTTCCGTCTCTGTAAGGGGTCCCCAAGACCAACCCCAGGTTTGAGGATTCACTAAGAGGACTCCCAGGACTTGGCATTTAGTCATATTTATAGTTAAGATTTATTACAATGAAAGGGTACAGAGCACAATCAGCAAAGGGAAAGAGTGCGTGAGACGAAGTTTGGAGGAAACCAGACACAAGCGTCCAAGAGTCCTCTCCCAGCGGAGTCACACAGGATGCACTTAATTTCTCCAATTTTGAATTGTGACAACATGTGTGAAATGTTGTCTATCAGGAAGCTCATTAGAGACTCAGTGCCCAAGGTTTTATTGGGGGCTGGTTACATAGGCCCTCTCTACCTAGCACATACCAAAATTCCAGACTCCCAGAAGGGAAGCTGGTGTTCCGCATAAACCACATTGTTTGTATAAACGGTGTAGAAACAGTGAGGCACTCTGATCAGTTCTGAGAGTGGCAAGAACCCTCCTGAAATCCAAGTTCCCAGACACCAACCAAGGGTCTACCTTGCAAGCAGGCCTTTCTAAAGATACGCTGTGTTAACTCTTTTCTGTACGTTTTCTGTATGGAAATGCCTTTATTTCACCTTTGCTTTTAAAGCATATTTTCACTGGGTATAGAGTATTAGATTAGCAATTATTTTCTTTTGGCACTTTTTAAAAAATGTCATTCCATTTCCATTGTCTCCTGGTTTCCATCGTTTCTGTTGAGAAGTTGGCTTTAACTCTTATTGTTTCTTCCTTAAAGGCAGTGTGTTCCTCTCCCCCACCAATACCTGCTTTCTCTATGTCTTTGTTTATCAGCAATTTGAATAAGATGTGCCTAGTGGTGGTTTTATTAATATTTATCCTACTTAGTGTTCGTAATGTTCCTTGCATAGATGATTTGATACCTCTTTTTAATTTTGGAAAATTCATGGTCATTATCTCTTCAGATATTTCTTTTTCCTCAGTCTATCCCTCCTCCCCTTCTGGGATTTAAATTACATCCGTGTTAGACCTTTCTTTTCTTTTTAACCATATTCCATATGTCTCTTAGGCTCTTTTCTGAGTTTCTCTCCATGCTTTAGTCTGGGTATTTTCTACTGACCTTTTTTCCAATTCATGATCCTCTCTTCATCTATGTCAAATCTGGTAAACCTGTTAAATTTGACTTAATCTATTGAGTTCTTAAGTTTGATTATTGTATTTTTCAATTCTGGAATTTCCATTTGATTTTTTTTTTTTTATTTTAGAGTTGGTCCCTAATTACTATTGCTATTTGGTGCCAAATATTGGACTGACTTCTCTCTTCTTTCTCAGATCTTGGTCCCTCATGTCCTGGCTGTTTTGGCAGCTTTGAAATCAACTTTCATCTCCCCAGTCCTGTGACTTTTCCCAAAAGCTCTGCTCACACACACCCCAAAGCCATTCCCACCCTTTGTAGCAGTTCTCCCCTGTGAGAGTTTTATGCTTTTGTTCTCTCCTTCAACCCAGTTATGTTGACCTTTTATTTTTTTGTGTACTTCTCTGAATTTCTGGTCGGTCTGTCATGACCATGTCATCTTATTTTCCAATTCTGAAAATACAGAGAGACATTTCTCTTTTCTGTCATCTTTGAAGCTGTGAAGGGGGATGGGGAGGGGCTGCAGCCTGGGCACAGGCTGATCCTACTTTGCTTTGTATCCCCCCAGCACCCAGGGTGGTGCTTAGCATGTAGTAGGCACTCAGTAAGTGTATACGTGGAATAGATATTGAATAGTCAAAGAAAGTAGAAATGTTTATTATACCTCTGAAGTATCTGCAATTTGGACAATTTTTATTTATATTACTTAGAAAACTTTCCCTTTATACTACATTTTTGTTCCCTGCTATGTTTTTGTTGTACAAATCTGTTTTCTCTCTTCACTCCATCATGACATAAACGTTTGGCCCACGCTATTCATTTCTTCAAGTCGCAACCAGATCTTCTGCATTTGACAGTCAGTCTCCCAAAGAGAACAGGCAGTATTGCTCAGGCGATGTGTATTTCCTTTTTGGTACACATGTTTACTACGTTATTTGTGTTTAAAATATACATTCTTGTCCGATGCAGGGCTCCAAGCTTGAACTCCCCTTGTGGCTGGCAAAAGGACTCTTTGACAACAAGCGGCGGATCCTTTCTGTGGAACTTCCCAAGATCTACCAGGAGGGTTGGCGGACCGTGTTCAGTGCAGACGCCAATGTGGTGGACCTCCACAAAATGGGGCCACATTTCTACGGCTTTGGCTCCCAACTCCTACATTTTGACAGCCCGGAGAATGCAGACATTTCCCAGTCTCTCCTGCAGGCAAGTAACTGATGTGAAAACCTGTGGCACTGCACGTGTCTAAGGTTCCAGCTATGGCAGCCACCAGGGTCATTCTTACCCAGGGAAGTGTGTAATTTTTACAATTAGTTTATGATTATTCGAGGTCAGTCTACAGTTAGACTATATTTTCCAATTATGTATGTACTTAAATATGACTTGTCTTCTGCTCTTCATATTTTTTTGCTAAGAGTTGGGACCAGCAGGAAGGTTTGAAAATAAGAAAGGGGGGATGGTTGATTATAGGTGACGGGTACTTAAACACACAGGCCCATCCCTGCCCGAGGAATGGTCTGAGGGTTCCTGTTGGAAATACGTGTGTTGTTTGTTCCCTTCCCTTGCTCCAGGGTTGAGACCTGGCTCTGCCATGTAGACCCTGTGTGACTTGCTCAAGCTGCTTGACCTCGCTAGGCGTCAGTTCTTCACCTGTAAAATGGAGATAATAATAGTGCCAAAATTATAGAGTTGTCATGAGATTATGTAGTGCCATTTAATAAATGGTAACTATTACTGTTATTTTCCATGGACAAAACAGTGTTATACATTTTTACCATCCTTTACAGTTTACCTTTATTTTAACTTTTCGTAATTATTTTTTATTCTGTTAATATTAGAAGAAACCATCCTTTCTACCTCTTGTTTTACGTCCTCATTTTTAGCTTTTTAAGAACTGTTGGCTCAAGACCCATTTGCTCCCTGGACCTTGCAGTCACCCTCCATCAGGCTCCAGGGTTGTTTGAACTAACATGTGCTCCTGCTGTTTTTAATGTAGACAGTAAAGGAAAACTTCGTTGTGTCCATTCAGGAAAAGAAGTCAGTACATAGACTGCAGGCGGTTTGAGCTTATGAAACTCTTTTTGAGCAGAAAGCTGGAAACGAGGAAAATCCATTTGTCTTATAATATTGCCAGGACATGTTCTTGAATTGGAATACTGCCCTTTTTTATTGAGTAATATGTTTCCTTTTTTCATTACTGTTTTGAAGTGCTGTAGACTGAGGTTGCTTTATGTATAAGGTGATGTTGCCATGAGACAGTTAAAGGACTGAAGCAGGGGCTTGTGGCTCGGGCTCAGAGCCCTGTGCTAAAATAGCCCTGGATCCTATGTGCCACCATCCTTCTCTCAGACTGAAAAAAATAGAGACTGCATTCAATTCAGTCAGGAGTCTTCTGGTTGAAACCTGTCTGCATGTGACCTCGGTACATTATTATGGCCTTTGTTACTAGCAACAATAATGCGTAATGCTTTTCGAGGAGCTTACTGTTGCCAGCCATTTGCTAGGTGATCTACACATATTACTTCCTCAGATTTTCACAACAGTCCATTTCACGGACAAGGAAATCGAGGCTTGGCAGTGTGAAATAACTTATTCGAGTGGTAGAGGAGACTCAAATCTCCTTCTGCCTGAGTCCTGAGACCAAATTCTTTGTTTTCGTGCCATTTAAATGTTCAGGAATAAGAATCGATCTGATTTCTCTCACTCACTTCTTCTTCAGACGTTTATTGGACGTTTTCGCCGCATCATGGACTCCTCCCAGAATGCTTACAATGAAGACACTTCGGCACTGGTGGCCAGGCTAGACGAGATGGAGAGGGGCTTGTTTCAAACAGGGCAGAAAGGACTGAATGACTTTCAGTGCTGGGAGAAGGGGCAGGCTTCTCAGATCACAGCTTCCAACCTCATTCAGAACTACAAGAAGAGAAAATTTACCAACATGGAAGACTGAAGGCCAGAAGAACACAGAATTGCTCCTCGTAGACCTGTCCCTGTGTGTCCTTGATGAGAGCCTGGTTGACCTCATAAAGGGCCAGAATCATGTCCCATCTCAAGGCTTCTTTCCTGCAGCAGCCTCAGGCGTCGTACCATCTGGTGGGAAAGAACGTGCTGGAAGATGTCCCTGGCCCTGTAAGTCTTCTAGGACTGACCCACAGCCCAGGCCTACTTAACCCAAGAAGACATAGCAGAGGATAAATCAGAGTCCCTCCTAGATAAGGATCATTAATCCATATGTCACAATAGAGTGGGACCGGAATGCCTTGTGCCTGGGAGTTTGGACAGCCAAACTGTCCACTAGCTCCAAAGGGACAAATTGGGCCATCTGAGCGTGTTCACAGAATGTTCTCTCGAGCTTAACTGCCTCATCTTCCTTGTGGCTGCACAAAGGACAGCCAGCACTGCCAGGATGCTGGTCTTGTTTGTAAAGATCTCCTGCCACCTGCCTGTGGGGAGTTACCCCAGTTTCCAGAAACAACCCAAGAATGAGGAAGGAACAGGGAAAGGCAGATGAATGTGGCTTTTACTAAAGAGAAGACGTTGCTTTCCTCGTCTGTAATCCTGGGCTTTGTGAACTGGAATTCATGTAACTCTACAGTTAACCTAGACGGGAGGTGGTTCAACTCAGCTTGTTATTGTCTCCAAGATCCTCAGCGCACCTGCACAGTTATTCCATTCCCTCCCTAGAAAAGCTGTCAGGGAGTCGTTTGGAATTGCAAAGTAGTTATTAAAGAGCGTGAACCAGCCCCTACTACATCTGGAAATCAGGGCTTCGGGTTGCTGGTTATGAAGAGGCCTGTTTGAGAAGCTTAACATGACAAATATAAGTGGGCAAGAGACCTTGATTATGTTTTCTTTCTCTTCAGTAAATTTTGCAACATTATTACGTAGAGGATGCCTGACCGTGTACTGAGAATCTGTTGAGGCAAGCACAAATCTCTTCCCCTGGAGATAAGGCGGAAGCCTCAGGCTGAGGAGGAAACCCCCCCCCCCCCAACCCACTGGACTGTGTGAAGGGCAGTTGTCTCCACACCCTCTGCTCTCCTTCTACCTTCCCACAACAGGGAAAATTGCCTTTGTTGTTGGAAATTATAGAGGGATTTGGGTATCCAGATTGTACAGATGTCTTGATGCAAACTCAGAATGTCAGAAACGCTTTTAAAATGCCTAAGATGGAATTGATGTTTTTATAATTTGATTTTGGTGCTAAATAAATGGTCCACTTTGCACATGAATGCATTCTGTACAAGTACTGTTTCTGTAACTCGAGTACTACAGATGATCAGGCAGAGCTATCAGAGAATTTTGTCTTTGACCAAATTTGACAATAATGCCCAAATCCATGTTTTAGCAACTGCTCTTTTGTTTGCACAATACTCATAAAGATGGGGTACATTCTCTGTGGGAATGTGCGGTGTCCCAGAAAGGTGAGACTTCCATTGCTACCCCAGCATTTACATATGGCCCCGGGCCCCCGGAGACAATTCATAGAGTGAGAAAAGCATATCATTTAATTTTTGGAGTCATTGTTTTCACAGATAGCTTTGTATGTAAAGTCAATTCTAAGGCTGCTGCCATTTTTTTCTCTTATTAAAAAAAAAAAATTTGCTCAGGGGCCACATGCCCAGGATATGGAAGTAGGCGCATGCAAAATTTATTCCCTGTTTTAAATTTTGAACAGATTGTATTACAAGTAGCTTTTGAAACCCATTCCAATTACAAATTTGCCTTCAAACCTGTCAGTTACTACCCCTCTCCCCCACAGCCCTCCCCCAAATCAGTCTTTTGGATTATTTGGTCCCTTCAAAGAGGTGAATTTTTTAAAATGAGTCAACAAATTGACCCAAATACCAAATTCCTCTTAAAATCAGGGAGGGAAATGTGTGCCTTTCCCCTTAAAGGCTCTGTTACCAGGTAACTCTGGCCTTAATCACATACAAAAGACCTCACTGTATTCAGGTTGTTCCCTGGGACTCTCTGGGCTGCCGAAGGAGTGGGGCAAGGCATGGTCTCCTGGGCTGGTTCCCCCTACTCTCCCCAACCTCTGAACTTTGGACGGCTCCAGGCTCAGTCCTTGGATCTCTTCTAGGCATTCTCACTCCCTGGGGGATCTTGACCAGTCTTAAGCATTAAATACCATCTATATACTGATGACTCTCAAACTCCATCTCTAGCTCAGACCTCTAGCTCCAACGCCAGGCTTGTATCCAACCGCCTGCTTGACATTTCCACTTCGACCTCTACCCTTCCATGCCTAAAATTGAGCTCCTAATCTCCCCCTCACAGTCTGCTCCTCCTACAGTCTTTTCAGTTTTTGACAACTCCATCCTTACCTATTGCTCAGGACAAAAACCTGGTGTCCTCTTTGGCCCTCCTTCTCTTACTCTCCATATCTTTGGTGTCTACCTTTAAATCATTTGCAGAATCTGGCCACCTCTATCCCACCTCCACTTTTGTCCTGGATGGTTGTGGTCATCTCCCAGCTGCCCCCCTGCATTCACCCTCCACCCCCGCTGCAGACTCACCATAGCATCCAGAGTGGTCTTGTTCAAAAATAAATCAGGTCTTGTTAATTCTCTGCTCAAAAGCCTCCCATGTCAGAAAAAGGCTACTGCATCATAACAACACCAGTTGTTAACAAGTCCATCTTTACCCCAGTGGTTTGGTGTGGAATTTTCTTACTGCTTCTATAGAAGAAGTAATTTGTTTCTTATTTTAAATAAAAATTTCACCTTCTGCCTAAGAGATTTCTGAGCATCTTACAGAGGTTCTCATTAATCTCTCAGCACCACTGGACGTAAGAAGTTTTTGGAATACTGTGTCTGAAGTAAAACAGGAATGCAGAAGTATTGAGTGGCTCACTCAAGTCATATGGAAGTCAATCTTGCTCTGAGTCTGTCTGTCCTCTTGTTCCTCCATCCTTCAAGAAATCCCAGGAAAGCTTTTCATCTTTATGCTTGGGACAATTGTTTTTAAGTGAAAATATATTATTTTCCACAAACCTTAGCAAAAGAAGATAACTGCAGAGGCTGTATGTGTGTTTCTGAAAGTAGATATCTTTGTGTTCAAGAGAAAAATCTATACTTGAAGCAACTTGTTGAACAAAATCTAGAATAGATGAGAATTACTCCAAGAACCTTAATTTCAACAATCCCTATCTAGTATAGGTAAACTGAAAATTTTAGTATTGAATACACATAGAAACAATCTTTTTTTTACCCCCCCACACCAAATTCCTGGTACATAGTTGTATATTTTAGTTGTAAGTCCTTCTAGTTCTTCTATGTGAGCCGCCGCCACAGCATGGCTACTGACAAGACAAGTGGTGTGGTTCTGTGCCCAGGAACCAAACCCAGGCCGCTGAAGTGGAGAGCCCTGAACTTTAACCACTAGGCCATCTGGGCTGGTTCCACATAGAAACAATTTTTAAAAGACAATTAAATGCCCTGAACCTAAAAAGTGTCAAATTTGGAATTCTGTCACTAACTCTTGATATTGCCATTTTGAATGAGGGATAAATCTCCATCCATAATGAATGAATAAAATGTTTAGTGAATCAAGGTCCAGCCTGAGAAAATGTATAGTCACCTTGTTACTGAGAGCAAATGAGTCACACAGGTGACAGGCCTGAACTCATTTTGTTGATTTTTCCAGGCATCTGCATTTCTGCCTAGCTAGTCAAAGGAGACATGGTGCAACCAGGCACAGCTCACTTGCCAAGCAACGTCCCTCTAGGACACAAGCGTGCTCTCCTTCCTGGGTGCACCTGCGTTGTGGTCTAAAGGAAGGCACAAATGAGGCCGCCCCCGGAAACCAGAGGTCTCCCTTCTGTGTCTGCTTCTCAGAGATCAGAGTCAAGTCAACTAAAGGGGTATCATTTCATTAAACTTCTTATTTGGAAATAATTTTAGACTTCTAGAACAATTGTAAGGATAGTACAGAGAGTTCCCATGTAGCCATCACCCGGCTTTCCCCGACACTTTACATCATCATGGTACCTTTATCAGACACTATTTACCAAGCCACAGGCTTTATTCAGATTTCACCAGATTTTCCACTACTGTCCTTTTCCTGTTCCAGAATCCAATCCAATCCTACGTTGCATTTAGGGGGCAATCATTTTTTAAAGCAAAACAGAGCATCAGATTCTTTCCTACATTAATTTCAGAAGTTAAGCTTACTGGAATGACTTGATTGCATTGAGGTGGGTAACTGGGGCCAACTAGGGGCCTCTCCGGCCTTGCCCAGAAGCAGGCTGCTGGTAGCTCATCAAGGAGGGAGAGTATTTGCTTTTCACCTGAAAATTAAACTTTTTCCCCAGCACTGGCATCTGATGTAAAAAGGCCTCTGATTTTCCTTAAAACTTGCAGCATCTGTAATCACAGTAACTTGATTTTTCCCCTTGCCCTTTTGGCACATACTAGCTAATTTTCTTTGTGTCTAAACGACTTTTAAATGAGCACAGCTTTACCCACCGACGTTATTAAGTGTCAGCACAGCTCTGAAAATAGTGCCTGGGAACTGCTCGTGCTTCAGAATCCGTAAGGGGAGCGCACAGAACCAGCTAATCCTTGTAAACATCTCTCACCTATGGCCAATTCAAAAAAGAAAAAGCCCAGAGTTTTAAATCTTGAAGACATTTTCTGCTCCTGTATCACCCTTGAGAGAGAAGTTTCTTTGATTCCTACATGATTTGCACGGCTCCCTTTGGGCAACTAAAATTCTTCCCTGAGGACAGTGTCTTTTCTTTGGATGCAGAAAAGCAAATGAATAGCTAAGGTGTAGATTCAAGTAACAAATGAGACAAGGGAGAGAAGAATGGTGTGATTTATTGAAGGAAAAATGCGGTGAGAATGCATTTTGGTGCTTGAAGAAAGACTGAAGACAGAAACCAGTATTAAAAGCCAGCATTGCCAGAGTCATCAGATGGAGAGGTGATAACAGTTGTTCCCAGAATGTGGCCTTCTCTTAATGGAAACAAGAGGGCTTGGCACCTGGCTATCTCTTAGGTTCAGGAGCAAAACATTTAAAAAACTTTTTCAAAAGACAGTGTCATTTTCTAATTTAGCATTTCATGTTCACTCGTTTATCTAAGATTCCAGATAAATATTAAGTAATGTGCTTCTTTTCAAGTAATTGGGCAGTCCAGGAAGTATTTTCCCAGGTTTTGAGCCAGCTCAGACCTTGATCAATGTTTCAGAGGGTTCTACTGGCTGAATTTCTAGATCATTTCCAAGATTTTTAGGGGAAGCTCCCATATAACATGATATATCATGTTCATGTATGGCCA